AACCTGGCACTGAAATGCATCGAGACGGTCCTGCCCTTTGCTCTGATTAGCAATGAAGTGACAAGGGTGGGGTGCCTGGAAGGATGCTTGGAGGCTCCAGGTTAAACTTTGCAGGTGGCTTCAGCACCAGGAGTCACTGCAGCTTGCAGATACGAGCGAGCTCCTGCCTGGGTACATGTCTGGGACAGTTGCGTGGGCTGCATTTGGAGGGGATGGCATGGGTGTGCTAAGGAGGAGGGCTGAGGATGGAGAAGAAAAACTCCATGGAAGTAGCCGACTGGCTGTTATCCCCTGGTGGTCTCCGGTGTTTCATTACACCGAGTAGCACTGCTTTTCCCGGTAAGCTGCCCCACACCCCAGGCACCGATAAGCCTGTTTGTGCTGCAGGTGACTAACCAGGTGACAAGGGACAGCAGCACTGGTCCACTGAAGCCAGCCCTTGGCCGCTCCTGGAGTTTCGTGCCCAGCACCCGGGTGCTGCTGGAGAGCAAAGAAGCCACCTGGGAGAAAGCCACCGTGCGTCGCGTTGCTTCCTTGGCCAAGTCACCCCGGCAGGTGAGGCTCCCTGGAGCAGTCCCTCTGGCAATGGAGAATAACCTATACGTGACAGGGACCCGGCTTTGGAGCAGAGGAAGGCTCCTTCTGGGGGCAGGGCAGGATCAGGCCTCACTGGGTGACCCATGGCAATGGGAGAGGAGCAGATGCAGCCTGATTGTAAGCTGGGGAAGAGAAGAGCCTCTGTCTCCAACAGCCTGAGCTTGTATTTATAGGCACGTTAAGCGAGTGACACTGCTTCCAGTCCAGGGCATCGTGTTCCTTGGGCTTGTCTCGCTCCCCTGATGGTGTGTGGGCAGTGAGGATCCTGCAGAGCTGGCCTTGACACCTGCAGAGATGACTTTGGCTTGAGTCCTGCCTACGTGTGGGACAGCACTGCCTGAGCCTCCTGGCTCTGCAGCCTGGTCCAGGTGGGTTCGGAAGTGGTGGTGTGCTGGGCAGCGAAATGCATCCTGGGTGTGCTGAATAACGGCGTGTCGGGGGAGATCTCGGAGCAAGACGCTCTTTCTTTACTAAATTGCATTCCCTATTTGTGTCTCTGTGTTCAGCAGACCCAGTTAAAATGAGGACACCAGCAGAAAGAAATCCTCAAGGGGATGTAATTAGGGATTTTCGGCTCTGGGGCAGGTGATGGAGTGATGTACAGAGTCCCAGCAGTGTGAGGTTAAGCTCCTCTCTGTTTCTTCTTGCAGCCGACGGGGATACAGGTGGAGCTGGATATTGGAAATGGTGATGTGCAAGAGCTGAGCCCAGCAACGCCCACAGAGGGGCTCTGATGCAGGTGGAAAAGCAGAAGTTAGGGTCCAAGAGGCCTGTAAAAAAAAAAGCAGGCAAGCACACCGAAGGTTTTACAGACTGCCTCTGAGAGTCCTGCAGGCCCAGGAAGGACCAACAGGAAGAAGCTCTTGTTCTTCTGTGTTGGAAAGAAAATGAGTGTGGGGTTCCCTGGAGGTCTCCTTGCCTCAGCAGATGCAGCCCATGGTGGCTGGCCTGTGTGGGCAGCACGGCAACCTGGTTTTCTCCTGTGCTGCAGGCTTGTCTTCAACCAGCAGAGCCAGCCCTGTCCTAAGGTGTTGGCTTGGGACCAGCTGGCATGTCCCTGCACAAACCCATGACTTCCCATGGTGGGTTTGTTCCCCCCATAACTGACTGCCCCCTGGTCCCAGAGCTCTGATCATCCTTGGGCAGCCCACAGTGGTTCAGAAATAGAAAAAAAAGATCTTGCACACTGCTGTGGTTATTTAGAGCTGGAATTCAATTAATGGTGACTGCTGTTAACTTAATTAAAATGTTGAGGTTTAGTCCCTAGCAGGACTGGGGTGCAAAGGGCTCCTGATGAGCAGGGACATAATCAGATGCTTGATCTGACCTTCTCTCCAGAGAGACACCAGACCCTGTAGGGAGCTGCTGGTATTTTTGGGGCACACTGTGCTGCATAAAGAATTGCTGTTAATTGATGAAGGTCATGATCTGTTTCAGCGGGGGTGGATGAGTCCTGACTGACTCCAGCTGGCCCTGTGTGATGCTCAAGGACCTACTCAGTTGCATGTGGTGAAGTTGAAAATAATGTCCCCTTGCTCCAGTGCTTTCCAGTTGCTCTTGCCTGCTCTGGGCAACCTCCTGGGAGCTCGTGCAGTGCTGGGGAGGAGATGGGAGGCTGGGATGGAGCGTGGCCTCTCCTCTTGACCCCAGATGTCTTAGACACCCTCCTCCTCTGCTTCATAAGAAACCTCCTTGGCAGGTGAGCTGAGCCGTGGCTTGCACCTCCAGTGATGTAGATTGTGGGGGCTGGGACTCAGCAGGGCATTCTCGTTAAACTACCACCACAGCAGTACAGCTCCTGGAGCCTTCTAGAGCTGTGCTGGGCAGAGGAGTCTGATTTAGCAAGAATTTTGGTGCTGATTTCTGCAGAATAGCCATAACAGCCCGTATTTCTGAGCACATAGCTGCTGTAGGGAAGGGGCAGCTAGGAGGTGTGTGTGAATGCACGCTTCGGTTTCCCGAGAGGCAGCGGTAGGTCTCAGCACAGATCTTTGCTTTGCACGTCTGTCAGAGCTGTGCTTCCTGCGAAACAGCCCTCGCTGCTCCTGGGGCTGTGATTTGGGGGGCAGGTCCCACCTCCTCCATCGCGGTCACCCAGCCACTGCAGCGCCGTGCGCAGGGCTGTGGGGAAGGCTGTGCTCCCAGCAGGTCCTGCCCGAGGAGTGGAACGTGCCAAAGCAACAAGAGCTGTGCCATTAAACAGTTTTCAGTAGAATGTATTTTAAAATTGTGTGTTTATTTGCATTTATGGGCTTTCCAAGCTTGGGAGGGGAGGTTTGGCCCCAGGTTTGCAGCCTGGCTGGCTGGGAGAAGGAGGAGGATGGTTTTCTACTCCACTGGAGACCTGTGCTGGTGTGACCGGTCCTTACAAGCAGAAAATTTAGCTTGTTTTAGATCTCTTGAAGCTGTGAATAAAGAGCTGGTACACACAAATTTCAACCAAAACTGTGCACTACTACTTTATTTCTGCCTGAGATTCTGTCGGGGAAGCAAAGCTGTCGCGGGGGAGTGTGGAGCAAGGGGAAGATCCAAACAGAAACCTCTTCGGTTATATTTGAACCAGGGGGGCTCCCTTGCTGTCTCCTTCCCCTAACTGGCAGGAGGACGAGAAGGGGAACAGCCTGCTTGGAACCCTGCATCAGCCTCTGCGTGAGACCAGCCATCCGACAGAAGAAACTCTGCTCTTGCACTTAGTCACTGAGGAGCCGTCATGGGACAGTGAGTCAATAGGGATGGTGGCAACTGGTCAGGAAGAGACCAGGGAAAGGCTGTGCTCCTCCAAAGCTGCCCATCCCAGGCTTTCGGGCATGTCCGTGACCTGGGGGGATTTTCTCTCCTTGGTAATTGGCTCATTGCAGCCGTGGGAGTTTTATGCCCTTTTGGGAAACAGCTGGGTAGGTCGGGAGGACAGCATGACACGGGGCACGGCTGAGCTTTGGGTGGCAGCTCCTCCGCTCCCGGGTTCGCCGCTGAGGTGGGCAGCGTGTGTGCGAGGTGATGGCGACGTCCCGAGCTCCTGGCTGCGTTGCTGCAGGGAAGGCGTCGCTGGGGGGTGGTTACTGCTCCGTGTGGGGACAGCGGAAAGGTTCAGGCTGTGGGAATCTGTTACTTTGACTTCTGACTCAAGCTGATTTGCCCTAAATTTGCATAGTAAAATTAGACTGAAAAGGGTTTCTGACCTAAATATCCCAATTCAGCCTTTCTCCTCTGTGCTCAGCCGCTTGGGGAATCCTGTAAGACAGGGCCTGGCTGTGCCAGCGTGCGTGGGGACGTCCCCTCTCCCTGCCCCTTCCCCTTGACTAAATCAGCTGGAAAACTACTGGCAAGGGGAAGGGGCAGGTGATAAAACCCCGTCCCAGGGCAGGCAGGGCACCCCTCGCCCCGAGCGGTCAGGGTGCCTTTTGGAGCTGAGGGCTCATTTCCCCTTGATATGTATAAAATACATGTACGAGTGTGTGTTTATACGCATTGTGTGCGTATGTGTATATACGGGGGGGTATACGTGTCTGCGTCTGTACGGCTGTGTGTGTAGCTGGAGGTGACCCCCCAGCCCCCTCCCCGCTGCCCG